CTGTGGCACTGTAGATGCCGAGGCCACTGTAGAGGTGGTAGAGCTCAAAATGCCTAAGTATTTTACGTTTTGAAGACCAGTTAGACGCTCTTCGTCGCTTTTCGTTATCTGTTTTGCAAGGATGAGGATTGCTTTAACGAGTTTTGTATATCAGTAGTCTCATTTTTTGTAACTTCACATGTTTATATGTGCCCGATTTTTTCTTAGTGTTGCTTGTGAGCATTATTCCCTACCTTTATCTCTTCCAATAGCCGCATATGACTCCGTTAATCGAAATAAACTTCTACTTGCTATGGTAGAATTTCGCATTCCGTTTAATCTTGTCCGGTTAACTGAACTTACACTCACAGGTGCAGAGAGCATGGTAAAAATCCAAAACGATCGCTCAAGACCCTTCCATTGCCAAAATAGACTAAGACAGGGTGATGGACTATCGTGTCTCTTATTTAACCTGGCATTAGAAAAAATAATTCGAGAGTCGCAGATTACTACGAATGGTACTATCTTTAACAAATCAGTACAAATTGTCGGATACGCAGCTGACATAGACATCATAGGTAGGTCCACAGAATCTCTGACTGAAGCATTTCGGTCGTTAAGAGCATCTGCACACAGAATGGGACTAAATATAAATGTTCAAAAGACCAAATATATGTGTTGCACTAGGTCAAGCAACCCGACACCTACACGAATAATAATTGATGACCTAGAACTGGAAGGTGTTGACACCTTCATATACTTAGGGTCGCTGCTAACCAAAGATAACGTCGGTGAAGAAATCAAAAGAATAATAGTGCTCGCCAATAAGTGTTACTATGGCTTAAGAAGACAGATGGCCTCAAAAAGACCTAGAAAAATTAAACTGACTGTATACAAAACACTAATAAGACCAGTGCTAACATATGGTTCAGAAACTTGGAGACTAACATAGAATGACCAAGAATTGCTCAAACTTTTGAGCGAAAAATACTAAGACGAATATATGGAGGCATAAAATAACAAGGTTTGTGGCGCAGGTGTTACAATTTTGAAGTGTATAGAAGATTTGGAGAACCTGACGTTGTAAAATTCATTAAGGTAGCACGCCTCAGATGGATAGGTCATGTAATCAGACGAGAGGAAGATGCCATAGTCAGAAAAGTTTTTGACCGAAGAGGGTCTATCGGACAACGAAGAAGAGGAAGACCGAGACTTAAGTACCAAGACAACCTAGAAAATGATTTGAAGTCTATCGGAATTAGAGCATGGAGAAGAGTTGCCGGAGACAGGGGCGAATGGAGGATTGTTCTGAAGAAGGCTTTGGCTCATAAAGAGCTGTAACGCCACTGATGATGATGTCTTCCAATACTTTTTATTCTATACTTCACCCAATTTTCGTGAACATCCTCACCGATATAATCCATGTGAATATATCACTAATTCGATAGTTTCCACGAATTTTTTTGCTCTCTTTGTTGTTTTAACACTTCTATATTAAACTTTTCTCTTTACTTCTTTCAACTTTCTTCGCTTAAAAATTCTAATTCTACTGCATAATACGTTATTCACGTCTCTGTAGTGTGCTGCCTCCAACTACTATATTTTCGATTTGATTTACTGTATTCCCATTAGGCATGTCCAAGTTCCTTTATATGATACGTTATGCACGTATTGCATTAATTACTACATTGTCGATTTGATTTAGTGTATTCTCATTGGACTTGTCCAAGTTCCTTTATACATGTCCCTGTATATGAAGCATGTGCTTGTAATTATAAAGTTTATAAAGCAGGTCTCGTTGTTGATTAACTTTTCATGTACACTGCGTTTCCAGTTTCGAATGGTTGGTGCATATTGTTCAATCCCAAAATATAAATGATTGTTACGTTAATATCCAACAAAAAGTTTGTATGTATCTTGTTGTATTAATAACCTGCTAAAATACTATATGCTTCTGTAAACCGAATATGTTACAGTTTATTCGATTTGCTTGACAAATCCGTTGACTATTCGACGAATATATTGAGTAAGAATTAAGATTATATAATATATATATATATATATATATATATATATATATATATATATATATATATATATATATATACTACTATTTATTCGGCAAGATTGAATACTGTCAAAAATGTACAGTACATTGCTTACATACATACATTGGAAATAGAACGCCGTCGTACGAGTCGATAGGAGATTAACCGACGAATGTTACAGTCCAAGAGGCGTCAGACTAGGATGCATTCTATCCCCACTGTTACTTAATATCTACTCGGATATAATTTTCAAAAAGGATTTGCACGATAAAGACTTGGATTGAAAATAAATGGTGAACTGATTAATAATCTTAGATACGCTGATGACACTGTTATCTTATGCGATAGTCTCCAGGGCCTTCAAGAGTTATTGGATTGAGTAAACACGACAGGGAGACAAATGGATTTAAAAATTAATGGTTCTAAGATAAGCATCAATTATAAAATTTTATCAGGTTATAATCCATATGATCCAGTTGACCAAGAGATAATTTATCTTTTATTGACGATAATGACAATGAAAATGCATGTGATGAAATGCTCAATGGTTAGAAGAATACATCGGATCTAGAAAGAGACAATAAAGGTAGGGAACAGGATGAAATGCATAAAAGTAGAGAGCAGGATAATGGATCAACAAAGGTGAAAAATACATATTTATAATTTTTTGTAACTTATTGTATATAATAAGTCTTTCATATTATAAATATATATTATAGATAGAGCAATTGGTGTCACAAAATATTTCAGAAACTAAAAAAAAAGAAAGAAACAAAATATCAGAAGTTCAAAAAGGAAAAAATACCTATAACGTGGCAGAAACAGAGAATAAGAATGAGAAATATGAGAGAACAAACACCTGTCAATCACAGCAACACTTCTAACAATTCCAATACGGAAGCAACTCTTCTTTGATGTCATGGCGGAAAAAACTAATATATAAGCTATGCAAAAGAGAATGACATTCAAACTAACAAACAGGAATAAAATGTGTAAGTATCTAGGTTTCCACATTTTGATGGGTCTTTTAGGTTTACTATGTTAACAATGTACTGGGAGAGGCAATATAAAATTAACATAGTTTGAAAACCATGTCAAGAAGTAAAGGTTTTTCTAACTACGCAGCAATTTACATGATGTAAAAAAAATTAGAAAGACCAGAAACCTGTGTTGATAAATTGTTTAAAGTACGGCCGTTTCTTGAAACTGTTCAAAAAAGAGGTCTTGAACTTAATAAAGAAAAAATATTCGTTGATAAACATATGGTACTGGGAGATAAAGCAATATTGACAATACTGAATACTGCAAACAAAATTATTGTTTTATGCGGATCTAGTGGAATTGCTTATTATTTAATAGTGCAACTACAGAAATTGATAAATAATTATCACAACACTTTGGTTTAGGAGCAGCTGTCGTTCTAGAGCTGATAAAAAATGTACCGAAATACCACAATGTGTATTTTGGTATTTTGTTTGCATCTTATAAGCTCTTAGAAGAACTAAATAAATAACAAATTTTTGCAGCTGGATCTATTCGAGTTCCATCTGCATGCCTGACGTTTCAAAAACCCCATTTCACAAAAAAATATTCAGTGAAGGAGTAATTAATGATGAAGGAGCAGTTGTATTATGTCCCTGGCAAGATAATAAACCAGTTGTAATGTGATCAAATTTTATAGGCAAGAGCAAGGGAGATAAAATCGAAAGGTGGGACAAGTCAGAAAAGGATTTATCACAATTAAAAGGACAGAAGTTATAAAACTTTATAATACAAGGAATGAGTGGCGTGGACAAAATGGGCCAGCTTTTATCCTACTATCGAATTCACATCAAATCTAGGAAATGGAGACTACGAACGATTTTCCTTTGTATTGATTTTTCTTGTGCAAATAATAATTGGATTGAATATAAGAAGGATATGGAAAATAAAAATGTACCTTCAAGATATATAATGGATCGATCTACTTAACTTTAAAATAACAATTGCTGATACTCTTCTACAAATAAATCAGCCCCTTAATAAATCTCGAGGAAGACGATCAGGTGAAAACTCTCCAAAAGAACTACATCCGAATATAGACCATTGAGAGAAATACAAACCGATTTATTGGAACACAATCCTGAATACAATGATCACAAAGAAGTTACACGCTGTAAAAGCACTGTCTGTAACGGAAAAACTCAAGTTTTGCTCTAAATGTCATATTCATGCTCACTGTTTTACCCAATTCTACCACAGATAATTGTAAGTTAATTATTTTTCCTAGGAGCTTTTGATTTATTTAGACAGAGACTGCTGCAGTTAGAAAACTAAGAACAAAAGATGAAGCTAATGAGAAATAAAAGAAAATTAAAAGTCTTAAAGAAGAAAAATTACATAAACGATGACTTGACAATACCCGAGAAAAGAATACAAGAGAAAATAATGAAAAAAGCACAAGAGGTCCGAAGAGAAGGTAAACCAGTAAAAAGAGGGTTTCGGAAGGTTACAATATATGGCAGAGTAAGAAGATGACACCGAACAAAAGGGGAGCTAGACTTACCAATAAACTAGAGCCGATCAGCAGGGATGGATCAAAGGATAATGGAATTATGGCAATGAACGAGGACATGGAGGGATTATCAATAGAGATAACAAGGAAAATAAGAAAAAAAAATGTCATCCAAGTACAATCCGAATAGATTCCTGAAATATGAGAAGTACTTATGAAGCAAAATCGCTGATGCTGGATACAGAAAGCAGGAATGGATACAGCATTTACACTAGCTGAGAAATTTGGAAATATGGATTCAAAACCATGATAAGAATATAAATCTAATTATTTAATTTAATAGCAATCTATTAATGTGACTTTCCATATTTTACTATCTATAATAATCAAACCCTACAAATATCTAAACGAGATTGATAGCAGAACTATGTAACCATTGAACTGTACTATTTGTAAAGAAGTATTCTAAACTGACTTACCTGCATTGTACTTTGGTGTAACGCAGAATCACTATTCGTTCGTCTCCACCCGGTATCAGTAGGAGGGCTTAAATAAGGTGATGTATAAGGAGATGTATCTAACCGTCTTTCGTGGGTTTTCCTCATTGGACCACCCTGAGATCGCGCCCTACTCCTGCCTTCGACTCTGCTGGCTGGCATCTTTCCTGAGTGACATGGCTCATCCTATAATGTTAAAATCATTTAATTAAAACATATACAAATGCTTAAAATTTTCATAAATTTTATAAGAATACCTAATAGTAATTATTGTTGTGTAAATTGAAGTAAACCATAATTACAAAGTGTTGATTGTTAGTAATCATTGACAGCTAGTAATGTTATTGAGATTTATGGCAATGTGGTTACAATATTACTAAAGATACGGGTTGGTCTACAGGTTAAACAATATAATTGTATTTTTGCGTAAATATGCCAGTGTATGCTGTAATTTTAAATACGTATTAAAAGCTTAACGGGTAATATATTATGCCGTACAAGAGGGACCAATTGCTGAACCAGTGGCCAAAAGTCTAAATGTGAATCATTTTGGATATAAATGTGTACTATAAGGTTTTCAACAAGGGCACAATAAACAAGGCAACAAACTATGGAACACTAAGAGCATTAATGAAATCTAAATGCGTATTAAGAAAAACAAAAACAAGAATTTATAAGACCAAAAGTCACGTATGCCATGGGTGCTAACATAATCAGAAACATTTTTCGAAAGATGAGAAAAAAGTTATAAGAACAACATATGGGTATGTAAAACAGAAGAATTGTGGGATAGAAGAACTATAAAGAAATACAAGACAGGTAAGGAAAGGAACCAAAAATACAACGGTAACTACCCAAAATGCGTTTTCTAGGATATATGGAGCAATATAGAACCAATATAGAAGAGACGAAAAAAGAGACCACAAAAAAGATGGTGTTCTAGAGTATCTTTAAAAAGAGTGTACTAAACTGAAACAAATGAAAGGAAATAACTGTAGAGTAAAATGAAATATATATTCTATTTAAATGACAATTTAATTTGTATTTGTAATGTAATCCTTAAACCTACAAGGACTGTTGATCCCGGAAATAAATAATTGGATTTTTTTTACATAAAAATGGAAACGATTCCAAAAAATTTAAAACATAAAAAATGTGAGTAATTAGGACTAAATGATAAAATATTTTTTTACTATCAAGATTATCTTGAAAATTGGAATATATATTAGCATAAACCAAAGAGGTGTATGACCAATGACGCAAATATAAAATTGACCACTTGCTTATCTATAAACAATTTTAAAAAACTTGCGATATATTGTTTCGTCTCCAGTCGTCAGAGAGGAAAGTGTCACTAAACCTCTAAAAACCATACGAACAAGCTGAATTTTGCCGTCGATGTTATAGAAACATCGATGTTTTCACAAATGTTGAATAATGTGAAAATATTAAATTAAATAAAGTATTCTATAAACGTGATTTAATTGCTGAAAAAAATGGTGTAACTGTGTAACCTTAGCCTAATATTAAACAAATAAAAATGATATTTTGATAGATATCGTAAACACAACCGAATTAAAAAAAAGTTTTTTAAATGAAAAAAGTCGAGTTTTTTAAATGAAATTTTTATTTTGCGAGAAAAATTAAGAGATCAATACAAACAATATAAGCAAGAATATACATAACATTCATCAATAATAATGCAAGTAAAAAGTGTATTAAATATCACGAAATATTTCGTCGAAAACAATGTTTTTTGTTACAATGTCTCCATTTTCTGAAAACTTTTGCTTGGCACCGGGAGTTATGTAAACTTTTATAATTTATAGTTCATCAAATGTCGACATGGATATCATTTAGCAGTTAATTTTGCATGCTGATCACGAATCCGGTGTCAGATTTGCTCTATCTTGACGTTTTATGCGCGTTTCGGGTCACTTCCGGTGTCGGATCGCAACCGGAAGTACATATTTAGATTCGTCTCGACGAGACCTTTCGATCCATATATACATTGTGGGGTCTAAAACTTAAAGTAAATTTTAACTTCCGGTCATCTCAAAACCGGAAGTGAATTTTTGTACCAAAAGTATATCTTGACAATCTCATACGTAATACTAATAATATTCCGAAAAAATATTTTAATTATCTAATATGGTTTTTGAGTAAAGTGGTGGACAAGAAAAGGGCTTAGCGTTTTAGTATATAAGATTAAAATTATAGGCCCCAAAAATGCGTATCAATATCTCGTAAAAATAACAGTTTTGATAGCAGCTTCCCTTTTATCCTGTTTCATTGCAGGGATTTACCGGGTAACAATAAGCGTGTCATTATATAAAATACCAACAGTGAAAGGAGTAATCTATACTTAAATGGTGTTCGATGTTTCCATTTAACATCGATGTTACCATCGATGTTATCGAATACCTAAATATCGATGGCAAAACATCGATCATCGAGCGTTCAACATCGATCTTTTTTAACCATCGGTGAAAATTGCGCATATCGCGCATCAGAGTGCTATAGGGGAAAGGGATGGTCTGGAGCATTGGAGCGCGGTGGAGTGACTCTTTACTGTGTTAATACACCTCGCTCCAATGAATTGTTACACCCGAACGTAATTCTTAGGAGTGAACATGTCTCACAGGCTGGGTTTAATTAAATTGCTTGCTTGTTTAACTTATTTTCATGTATAAAAATCGTGGTGTAGTTTCTTCTTCTTCTTCTTCGTCTAGCCATTCACGTCCACATCTGAACATAAGCCTCTTCAAGTCTTCCTTTCCATTGTTTTTTATTGTACGCTACTTGTAGCCAATTTTTCCCGGCAGTCCTTTTCAGATCATCTGTCCATCTCATAGGAGGTCTGCCTCTGGGTCTTTTGTGTTGGTATGGTCTCCAGGTTAAAATTGATCTGTGCCATTTGTTTAGATCGCTCCTAGCTACATGTCCAGCGTATTCCCATTTCAGCTTTAATGCTTTTTGCACCACATCGGTGACTTTGGTTTTCTGTCTTATCCATGTGTTTGTTTTCTTGTCCTTAAGTGATATACCTAGCATTGCTCTTTCCATCGCGTGTTGAGTGACTCTAAGTATATTCATATTCTTTTTTGTGATTGTCCATGTTTGTGCCGCATAAGTTAATATCGGAATAATGCATGCATCAAAAACTTTAGATCTAAGATGTAATTGAATTTGTTGATTTCTGAGTATATAGTTCAGTTTACCGAATGCTGCCCAAGCTAACTTTCTTCTTCTTTTTATTTCTTCAGTCTGAATTTCCCTATTTCGGATTATTTTTTGTCCCAAGTATATATATTCTTCAACTTTTTCTATAACTTTATCGTTTATTATTGTCACGGTGTCTTCGGAGTGCATGACTTTTGTTTTGTTTAAATTCATTTTCAGTCCTATTTTAGAAGATTCGGTATGAAGTTCTACAAGCATGGTTTGCATTTCTTGTAGGTCAGTAGCTATCAGGATTATGTCATCTGCAAATCGTAGATTACTGAGGTAGCGGTCATTGATGTTTATTCCCTTATATTTCCAATTTAGGTTTTTAAAAACGTCCTCCAAAACTAAGGTGAACAGTTTGGGTGATAAAGTATCTCCCTGTTTGACTCCCCTGTTTAATGGTACAGGGTTCGTGTGTTCATTTTCATTTAGGTAGTATGTAGCTGTAGCTTGGTTCATAGTTTCTTTTATTAAGTTAATATATCTGCTGTCTATTCTACAATTTTGTATTGCGTTTATTACGGCCGTGTGTTCTATGGTATCGAAAGCTTTTTCGTAGTCTACAAATGCAAGGAAAACTGGAAACTTGTATTCGTTACATTTTTCTATTAATATTTTTGTGGTTAACAGGTGATCGGAAGTTGAATAGCCTTTTCTAAAACCTTCCTGTTCATATGGTTGGTATTCGTCTAATTTCCTTGTTAGTCGAGTAGTTATGACTTTGGTGAGTATTTTAAACAGGTGTGACAGTAGGCTGATGGGTCTGTAGTTTTCCAATTTTCGACTATCACCTTTCTTGTGCAATAAGATTACTTTAGAGTTGTTCCAGCTCTTAGGGACTTTGGTATAGTTTACGACCAATATTTTTGTGACACCCTGTATAAATCGTCACAAACATATATTAATGAAATATTGTAATATAATAAATTCATAAAATAAAAAAAGGCGAAGATGATAAAGGCTTGTGTCCTAGGTTAAGATATTTTTTTATCTATTTTTGCACTTACTTGAGCTTATCAAAATCTTGCGGTTTTTATAAAAATGTTATCAACCGTAATTTTGTAGTAGTATATTTTAGTTTTAGTAGTTGCGCCTCCGTTAATTTTGTACAAACGAGAAATTATTTTAAATTATTTCCAGGATTAGATTTTCAATCTACAATTTTTTCTATAATTGCGGTAAAACTAATAATAGTGGAATATTACATTTATATACATGTAGATGACCTTTCTCAAGAGTTCATCTAGTTTGGATACAATATTTTAAAAGTCTGCCACGGTGTGATCTTGTAAGAAAAAACATAATAATAGTTAAAAAATAAAATAGGAGGTTTAGGTTTGATTTCATTACAGAGTACCACCATTCGCTCCGATTTGTATTCACAATAATAGTAATTTATACAAGAAGTCTAAAAAGTATTTTTTTATACGCGACGAAAAATAATATAGCACGTCGAATACTATCAACATTTTGTGTACGAATTGCATACTATAGTAATGTTCAAAAATGCACAATTTATAACATTTTTTTAATATTAACCCTTCTTAGCGAATTATTTTTGAATTCTACTTATTGCAACTTCTTTAAATATACCTATTTGATATATCGCACTAATAATACAGTAGTGGCGCAACTCAAAATGTTTCGAAATTGACATAACACTATATTCACACGTAAAACTGTCGTTTTAATAGTGAAATAAATGAATAAGAGATGGCGCCATAAGACGTTATTCATGACTGACCGACTGTCGTGATCCCTTTAACAATATCGCGTCATTTTTAGTTGCGACCAACAGTGATCGGGAATTCTCGTGTTGCTTTGCTCATTATTTCGAGTTTCCACGTTATTGCCGAATCAGATATGTAATTTCCATAGCTATATTTCGAGTTATTACATTCTTGTTGATTTGAATCTAACCATAACATTGTTGTTTTTCTAGTTATTACACTATTACT